AATTAATGGTTGATATGAAAATATTTATTACGTTAATTTTACAATTTCGGCGTCAGTTGCGAGATGTTCGTCCGTAAAATAATTGGTTCTCTCTTACATTGTCAGTTTTTTTTTTTATAGTAACGTAGTTTTTTATGCCTCATAGTTCGATTAAAAATGTCAAAAAGAACTACAGTAACTTTTAATAATTATATAATTAGCAACATTATTTTCAAAATTGTTTCAATTATATTTGCGTACATAGTATTAATTTTTATATTTTGTATTGTTTACATATTTCTTCCGTAATACGTTTACTTGTAGAGTGATCCTGAGACATATTTGAACATCCACTTTATAAATATAAAGATAATAATCACGGTCTGACTAATATATAATATTAAAAAGATGGTGATACGTTCAAAGCACTTAACTATCAAACTGACAGTCAAATGAAATGCAGCCAAGTTATTTCTGATTTCCAGGATGTAAATATCTTAACTGGACGAAAATTTTAATTCCCGCTTTGTAGAAGCTTTTATTTGAAAATTACGATTATTATTAATCGACGACTAGGCTATATCAATTCACAAATGTGTCAATTAGTGTGAAATAAGAGATTTTGTTTTATTTCGAACCATTAAACTTGATAAAACGTATGGAGAGAACGTATTAAATATAGTTAATATCTAAATTACTATAACTTCCAAACTTTTTAATATTATCGTAAATGGCCATAAATAATGGAAAGAGGCAAGCTGCATTTTGAAATGGATTTTACTCTATTCCGATACGATGATTGGTTTCTGAGATAGCGTCGTGTAAAAACACGAAAGTGATTTTTTGATATTTGACTATCTCTGTCTCTCTCGCGTAATCGAACCTCTCGCTCGCAGGCTAGTCCCTGACCAACCTCAACGCAACGTAGTTGGGGTAGGTAAGTTTTTACTATTTACTATTAGTACGTACGCTTATCCGGGATGTTATTTATGAATGGGCTTCCCCCATCATTCAACGTACGCGCGAACTTTGTACGCTTTTATCTCGGGAACAGATTGAGATACCGTCGCGAGATAAAATTCTTTGGAAAGAGCATCGACTCTATTATCATATGCATATACCAATCATAATCATTTAATTATCCTTACAGATGTAATATAGTGTAAGTAAAATAGTGGTGATACAAAACGAAATTTATTTCTGAGAATATAAATTATATCACCTGTCATACATATTGCTTAGTATAATTATTTTAAATCTTGGAAACATAACATGATCTTATGACTCTGAACCGCTTCTACGACAGTAACACAATATAAGTTACTATTTTTTGAATCTTTCGATTTAGTGTATGTCAAAAAATATTAATTTAAAATTTTATTATTACTTATATATAATAAATAATTAAATGGCTAAAGTTGTAATATATATAAACCATTTTATTTTTTATATCCCAATCTTATAGAACATGTGGAAAGACAAATTGAGAGTTTCTTCTTATATCTTTTTTAAAGATAATTCATAAAGATGGTTTCAATGCGGGTGATTTGATCTCATTCGGTATTTCTTATAGAACATTTTTCAGCCATATTTTGCATTCTGGCGTTTAATTATTACATTACCCAATTTTAAGAATTTCCTCGAAAATAATGTGCTCATCATAATAAGCGGACGATGTGTTTGCATGCTGCAACAACACTGACGAATTAACAATGCATTCCACTTTTTATCCCCAAACTTGGCGCTACATTTAATTTCGTCGTGCGTCACGGCGACGACTTAATTGCGTTGCCAAGAACATTTACTCTAACACGTGTAACAATCTTATCCATTTCCATAACCGCAGTCGCGTGTTTCCATTTTCTCCCGTTGAATAGTTTTCTATAGAATTAACTATGAACGTTGTATATCGTGCAGAATTAATGAAGAAACGAGAATACAATAAAGCTTCAGGGGAAACATGTTATTTAAATAATGATGGGTTTAGAAAATGATGCAACACTGGGATAATTATAATTCAGATGCTAATTATGCGAACAAATCGGGCATCAATCCTGCGAGAACTCCGGCAAGACAATAGCACCATAGTATGAATTGGATATTTCATGGGAAATAAATACGAATGACCAATATATATTTCCATAAGTCAGTTCTGTATCTCAGTTCCGTATTAATTTTCATCACTTCTTGCCGGAGAACATTTATGCCAATTAATTATATGTTAAATTGCAGGATGAACAAAAATTATAGAATAATACCTTTCATGTAGTGAGTGTAAAAATTTAAAATTATTATGTGAGGTCTGCTTTATCTCCATGATCAATTACTTCAATGCATGTTTATCTTTCTTATACAGGGTGTCCCAAAAATGTCTCCCAATTCGAAAGTGAGAGGTTTCCGGGATCGTTTGAAGGAACTCTCTCCTTAGCAAAAATGCAATCCGCAGCTTTGTTTACGAGTTATTAACGAAAAACAGTGACCAATGAGAGGCGAGACCAGTTGGCGCGAGACGGCCGAGCCAATGAGCGGAACTGAGCTCGGTGCGTTCGTTGTCTGCCGCCTCGCATCAGCGAAGCTCGCCTCTCATTGGTCACTGTTTTTCGTTAATAACTCGTAAACAAAGCCGTGGATTGCATTTTCGCTAAGGCAAAAGTTACTTCAAATGACCTCAGGAACCTCCCATTTCCGAACTGCGAAACATTTTTGAGACATCCTGTACAATACTGACAAAATCAAATCAAAGTCAAATCATCTTCTATCATACAAAGCGCAACAAACATAAAAGTAGTATTATGTTTTGTAGGAGCCGAAGGTTAACGACCGGAGCATCCACGAGCACGTTACGATGTCGAAGTTCGCTCCGAAATCACACACCGATCGGTGCTCGCGGACTCCCGTGTGTCACTTCACGCGACGTATGTGTGCGTGCATACGTATATACAACACAAACGCACACAAAATACAATACAAAAAGACAGTAAAGCAGTACACAATAATTCTTGTAATCGCACGCCGAAGTCGTAAATCGTGTTCCTAAGCCGCGTTCGTTATAATATAATTCCGAATCGTTATCCGTATCGTAGACCGTAATCGTGATCGCGATCGTAGCCGTGTACGTAAATCATAATCGTAATGATATTTGTGAACGTGATCGTTAGGCGCTGGTCAAACGAATCGAAGGAAGACTCGCATCGGTTGACCAGCGCACCAATAAAAGGATGCGCTCGCAGGGCACGCAGCAGGACGCGACGAACATCGACACGCAATTTACGATCACGATCACGGATATCATTACGATTATGATTTACGTACACGGCTACGATCGCGATCACGATTACGGTCTACGATACGGATAACGATTCGGAATTATATTATAACGAACGCGGCTTAGGAACACGATTTACGAATTCGGCGTACGATTACAAGAATTATTGTGTACTGCTTTACCGTCTTTTTGTATTGTATTTTGTGTGCGTCACACTGTGGTAATTAATAGGATAGTTTCCAAAACCTACTATCAAATACAGCAAATTCTTCCTAATTGACGCTCAACTTGTATACAAAAATGGACAGTTTGAGAACATAAGGTACGAATTATATATATTATATATTATATGTTATATATTATATATTATATATTATATGTTATATATATTATATTATATATTATATATTATATATATTATATATTATATATTATATATTATATATTATATATTATATATTATATATTATATATTATATAAATTATATATGTATCATTATAACATTATCTATTAGATAACATTGCAGCTCATTTTTATAATTGTTAACAATCGATAACTATAAGAACGAGCCGCAAGGCTCGAGCAATCGTATCTCCTTTTCCCAAATTGTCCATTTTTATATACAAGCTGAGCGTCAATTGGGAAGAATTTACTGTATATCGTTCGTCTATTTTTTGAAACTTCGCAGATAATTCTATGACTCTGTAATTACCGACGTCGCTACATATTCGATAAACGATGAATAGGTAGGCTAGCCTGTCCAGTGTATTGACACTTATGCTGCACGTTTGTTAAATGTTTATCGAGAAACTGTGATTTAATCCTCAAAGTACGGCCATCCGTTTTACGGTAACAGGGTCTTTCGCGATTCATGCCGATATTTTATTGACGCACGCCTACGCGATATGGAACAGTATTAAGTCACTAACGCACATGCAGCTTCGTCACTGTCGATAAAATAGGAAGGTCTTTAGAGACCCGGTTACCGGAACGCGAGAGTTAATCCCTGAATGATAGTTCCGAAAGCGAGCTGTATTACCACTTTGTTCACACATCCCTGAATACAATTCTAGAATTTTTTTGTAATAGTTATGTAGCCTGTTTAAAGAGTATAATGTAAGATTTTGTGAAAAGTACGTCGAACGACCAATAATTTTTAATACGTGAACAGTAATATTCCAGTGAATGGCGTTGTCCAAATTGATCATAGTTTCACTGAACTCACCATGAAATACAAATGAAGTGTGAAGTAAATTATGAATTGTATAATAGAACTGCACTAGGACCTTTACTCTCCAATTTTAGAATTCTTTGTTATCAAAATACTTCTCACACATAAGCAGCTAAATCTGAGCCAAACCTTATGCAAAACGTTGAAATCTAAGTTTGCGACTCGGTAACTATTCTACTATTCGGATAATCGGAATTTTACTGCACTCCATAAATTGTAACGCAATGAGGTTACGATAATTAGGATTATTTCTTTTTATTATTATTTATTATTATCATTATTTCTTTCATATAATACGTTGTGGTATTCGTAATTTGTTAGGTTTGCGTCATATGGACCAGGAGAAAATGCGTTGTCGCTCGACGGGTTAGCTTAATTGCTTAAAGCAAGCTATCTATCCGATCGGTCGACTAATTTTCTCTCGCATACGGGAAATGTCCATTCACTGGGTGGTGTTCGTTCGTTGGACGGGTTCTCTATCTGGCATAGAATAATCGTGACAAGTGGATTGCTTCTGTTTTCAGATTACGACAGGAATTACGAGTCGCCATCGATGAGGCCGCCAGGTGAACCTCCGGTCGACGCGCTGAGTCTGGCCGTTTCCCATCGGGCTCAGCTCGTTCTTCATCTTCTGGTGAGTCTGCTGTCACTACTACTTCCAGCCTTCCGAAGGTGATTCTCACGTCGCGGGAACGGGGCTTCCAGTTCTAGTGTTTATTGGACGGTGACCAGACCGGAGACGGCTGCCAGTTTCCGGCGCGCCGGCTCCGGCTGGGTGATGGACGAGTGCGACGAGACAAGACGCGCTTGAAATTATTTTCATACTAAAAGTGGACGTATACAGAGAGCAAAGAGGATATTATATATATATAATATATATACAAAGATATATATATAAATATAAATAAAAACAAATATGATATGTTGTGTAAGTATACTGCCGTGAGTATGAAAGAATCCTTAGGCTTTTGGTTGACGATCACTTTGCGAGGCGCAACGTTCTCGCGCTCGTGGATGAATATAAACGAAAATTTACTCGATAAATTACCCGGAGATCCGTGAACCGACAGTTTACTCGCGGAAACGAAGAAACGCACTCACGCTCCCCGCGATACGGATGGTCTTGTCTGCATGCTTTGATTCGAGTGCAATGCCAGCCGTTTTTTTAATCAAAAGAAGAAGCGTGTCTAGATGATTCGATGAAATCTTGTTTACGCGAGAGCTGGTCGGCGGGAAGGGGACGCGGAACGTTTCAGGTTTTCTTCGTTTCAGCCAATTACCTGTGTAAATGTCTCCGATTCTACAAATACAGTAAATTCTCCCTAATTGACGCTCAGCTTTGAAACAAGAATGGACAATTTCGGAAGATTATTCGAGCTTTGCACCTCGCTTTTTATAGAAACAGATTGTCAACAACTATAAAAACGAGCCGCAAACGTCAATTAGGGAGAATTTACTGTATTCCGTAAAAACCACCGCGAACCATCGCGAGATCCTTCCGCACTATTTGCGTCTTCGCCAATAGAAGGTTTCGTATTTTGAGTGTTAGATAAACGTTCGCACGCGACACACGTCCGTGAAAAATGGAATTCGATATCCAAAGCCTAAAGACGCTCTCCTTAACACGACGATGATGTACGTCAGTGCTGTCCGAGCGTTGCACGCCGCAGTAAATCGAGCTTTCCCCTCTTCGGACGCGTCGCCAAGGATACCGGGACGCTATCGTAGGATCATCGTCAACTGCTCTGATTGTGAATGCGATAATCTTTGTATCTTCCCTCGATTAACTCTGCTATCGCCTGTTCAGAGAACCTGTCTTCCGAACGAGGAGATCTGAAGCACATCGATAAATGTAATCATTCTTTTTTCTACCGTGGAGAAATCTTGAACAGATATCCTTGAATTTGTTATCAATGATCGTCCCTGTTAAATATCAGTGTTATCAGATTTTCATCTAAATTATCGTATCTTAGGATTGTGTATTAATTTTTTTATTAAAAAATAAAGAAAACGAAGGAACAAAAAAATTTTAAATGTCTTATCCGATAAATATCAAATTAATTGTGCCTAATGCGAACGAAAGACACAGCAATTGGTCACTTCACAGTAACCGGCTTCGCTACCCTGTTCTAGATAACATTGACCTACATGTTTTGAATGTAGCATGGAACACTTGTTTCGTTTTATTATTAGAATATTTCGCGTGAAATGTGAAGTGTTAAAAAGCAGTATTTTAATTATTTGTCGGGTCAGAGAACAAGAAATTATGTTCACGTGACTTCGACCGATAACCGCAGGCTAAAAGAAAGAAGCACGCTCGCTTAACACTGGTAGTTGAAATATTGTTCGAGTAATTGTCTCAACGTATTTACTGTCGCGTGAACTGTACACGCCTTTGCCTAACGAACGAATTAGAATTTTCATTTTTACAAACACATATAATAAAATATCGAATGAAATTATTAAATAAAATCGTGTTATTACCGATAGTCAGAATACTTAGCTGATAGCTACTATGACTCGACAATGCATCTCATTAACATTGATAAACTGTTTTTCTAAAACTACTTCGCACGCGTTAAATTATGAATGCTCTACTTTTTATACGGTACACGTAGCCTCAGCGTCATCACAGCATTCACGCAAAATGTTCATTGTCTTTGTTTCGAAATGCGGTGTGAGAAGTTAAACGAGTTGCGAAAAAATGCTGCAATTTTCAGTGCGAAAGCTGAGAAAATATTACACAGATGTAAATAGCAATACGTTGGTGGTCTACTCTGTTTTCATTCAAAATATCATGAATTCAAATCCCTCACTTTTGTACGGTATTATGCCGTAAAAATGATTAGTAACGTAGCAATGCACTTTTCATTTAAAATTCACCATATTTTCTATCGTTTTAAGTACTGTCACCGTGGCGACTGTACTGAAACAATAAATTCAGGTCACTATTGAATTCTGTGATAGTCGATGTGTGAAAATATGTATGTGTATATTACTGTGAAAATGCAAATATTGAGCCGCTGTTTTTTCTAGCACGCTGTTAACACTTTTGAGGTTGTCATGCATACGTTATTTCATTATCCTGCGGTTACGTGTCGACGCAATAACAGTAACTTCTATTAAAATGAAAATTAATACTTCTTCGCGGCAACATTAATATTTCTTCCAATAAATGTGTTTTATTTATACTATGAATTAATAACTATTCCTAAAACGATAGTAGCATACGAGATCATTTTAAAATAAAGGTAACGCACTGCAGTATTATTTTTCCCCATAAATGTAGTGGAGCAATTGCCACCTAAATTCGCACAAAACATTCTGAACCATTCTCAAAAAAGTTGTACAACCATTTACACCTCCATTTTGTCTTACCATTTATTCCGTAATTGTTATCTGTCGAATTTCCAACTTTTACAAGAATAATACAGAACGTAAAGGTCTTCCGTTCAATTCAATATTTACTTTTGACATTGCATCAAAAAACTAGTTAAACCTTCCACGAGCACTGCCACTGTGTTAGAGCACCACCGCTGTATTAGAGCACTGCCAAAGGCATACTTTCCAACACTGTCGTTAATACATATCACCAGTATGAAGCAGTATAAAAATCATTTAATTGAAAAATTAATTGATACGGTTTTAATCTGCACGGCGGGTCGAATTGTGTAAACGCGGGACGGATATACGGATAGACGCGAAAGACGGCTACGGAAGGCTGCAGGATATTTTCGCCGAGGACAGCACTGATGTACACGACCCTTCGATCGATGAGAATCACTATTTTTACCAAATATTCGCGTGCTGATGCTCCGGCGCACACGCGACGATCTCATTACTCGAATGCGAAGGAGAAAGCGGAAAACTTTCGACAGTCGTTTCCGTCGTTCGCTCGTCGGCTAGCGTTGCCGTTGCGAGTCGGGCGACCGGAAACGCGGCTCTTCGGTGCATATAATGAATGCATATACGTACGCATGAAAGGATAAACGAAATCGTAAATACACATTACATATGCATATAATCGAATCGTAGTTATGTTTGGGACGCGAGCTCGACGTTTCATTAGCCGTTCGATTGACGCGACGATGCGTGGCGTGGACGAACGCCAGAGAGCCTGGGTCACACCATACGTAATTATACGCGAGATGCGAACTATCTGGTGAATTTAATGGACGATCCCGCGCGTTCCCGCGGAGAGATACGACGACCGGCCGTCGTCGCGTAGCCTCGAATCATCAGCGACGGTGTCTTCGAGCAGAGAGCTTCGTCGTTTCAGTTCAATTATGCATCGCCGCGCGTGGAGAACGGCCACGTTCTCCACCCGGTTACATGTCGACGACAATATTTTTAGCTTTAAAGAGAGTTAAAGTATAGAACGACGTAGAGCAAACGATTCTGGGACACATTCGCCGTGAAACTCCAATGAAACTCAGTGGAACCTTCATTAGCCAGCTGAAATTCCGAGACGTAATTTGCGGGGGACAATTGGCAAATCGCACGAACGCTGATTTCTATCTAATTTCCAAATATGTCTGGTTGATTATTTAGAAGCTTGCATTTCATCACATTCGTTACAATTTCTTTCACAGCCATGATGATTAGCATTTCTTAATTCTTAATCATTTCTCTAATAGAACAAGGCAATTTCCGTTGCTTTTATGTTCCCATTTCGTTTTGATCGTAGATTTTGGTGACAGAAAAAATGAAATTTTATTTCGATTTTTATTTCGAAGAAACAAAAAACGTTCAAATTTGGTAAATTGTGTACAGTAGATCACGAAAATATTGGAAATACCGAAATAATTAAAATTTGTCATTTTTACAATTTTGTTCAGATCTAAAAAATGCGACGTTTAAAGTTTAATTATTCACTCAAATAAAGAAGTTACGAAATATGAGTAACTTTTATTTTTTTGCTGTTTCAAACAATTTTAAATATTGAAAAAATTTGTTAATAATTGCTTAGTAAACTAGATCTAACATTTCAATAAATTCAAGTAATTTTTGGTGCATAAGATAAATACCTAACAGATCATTATTAGAAATCTGTCATGAGTCAGACTCGTCAAAGTAAAGGAGATTCGTGTATCTTAATTCTCTACACAACAATTTGTTAAAACGACATTAAAATAATATATTTTTTTTATGATTTACAAATTATGAGCTATTGTAATAGAAACGATAATTACTGTTTTGAACTACGGAAAAGAACGATCAGTGTGCAAAGAACAAGAACAAATTTTTTTAATTTATCCCAACAATAATTTATAATCTTACAAAATCAGTGTGTGTCATTTGCAGCACGACTCTTATGAATGGTAGCTTTTCTGGGACTTCTTGTTTGGAGAAATGAAAATTGCAGGTGCAGATAAAAACGGAAGCTGAGTACCGAGGGAACGTTGAGAAATAGATCTTGTGAACAGTAATTCCAGATAAAAGTGATTAAATTAATGAATTAGTAAAGTATATGTTATATATAATTGCAAAAATAAGAAGAGCTTCTTTTTCTGTAACTGCATTTTTTGTAATTAAAATTCAGTACTTTCACGAATAAAAACCGATTAAAAATAAGGTTTCGCGTGAAACGATATTTGGTTTGCCAAACAGTGTGCATAATGGAGGTTCCACTGTACATAGTTTAGGTGAAATATCACTTTTGTGGAACTCTTTTTCCTGGTCTATGAATATTACATTGCTATACATTTTTAATCCACATAGTAATAATCACAGGTGAAGGAACTCGACAGAAAAGAACTCTTGACAATACATTATAATAGATTCTACGAATAAATTGTTTCCCAATAAATTTCAAATTTCGTTCGAATCGAATATAAGTAGTAAATGCGCTATCATTGAAAAGTTTAGAATCGGACAACTGTACTGATCGCGCAGGTCAATTTTTCAATGCATTTAAACATT